AAAACACGCAAGTTTTGCCCAGAGGCATTCCAAAATCCAAAGCCCCAGTCGCATTTGTTTGCAAATGATGGTTGTGTTGCACTGCTTCTAAGTTGTTTGGGCCGCTGAAAAAATGGGTGTTTTTTACTGTTTTTCAATACACCCCTAGAACTTAGAATGCGCCACTTTTGGGGCATGCTAAGTTTATTTTGCTGCACAGGAGCGGTGTTTTATAGCCAAAATCTATCAAAAATTATTTTTAGGAGGGTCTTTTTTTTGAAACGGAATGGCACAAAAGTCATTCTTAGTTTCGGGCCGTCGTTTATGTTTCAACTTGCGAAGCCATCACTGATGGCCATGTCTAATTAATGCTGTTCATGTATCGGTCTACGAGGCCAAATTCTTAATTAGTTGTGTACTTTGAAGAGAGCTACGTTTTCCGGCAGCAAATAGAGGTTCAAGGGTTATGCTGCACCTCTCCGTGTAGCATTGCTGAAGCTGGCACAAGCCGTGCTCGAATCCAGTTATCAGTGGCGGCAACCCAGGAGAAAAGATTGCAGACTATTGCTCTTTGTGAAAGGAATTGTCCACCGTGCTGTAGACCGGACCTTATCTGTGGGTAATGGTCACGGCGCAGCACGTCACCAGATCTCCTCCTTGTGACTTGAATCTTGAATTTCGTGCTTGAACCTCTAAAACGCGGAGTGCTAGGCTAGCAGCCTGGCCCCAACCAATACACCTTACTTTGACACCTTACCGCAGGAGTGACCGACCGCAAATTGCAAGTGCCGAAGCACAGGCTGCGTGAAAGCCCATAGGGGTAGCCGGCCTGTTCGGCGGTCATTTCGGCGTAGATTACGTAGGCCTTGTGTTCGTTTGTTTTTGCGTTTGAAAACTTGTGTAGGTTGCGTGTGGAGCTGGTTGTTTTGTTTTATTCTTGAAATATGTGCATGTTGTCAGACTTGGCGTGAAACGCATGATGCACCTGAAGCAACAAAACCCCGACCGGATTCAGTGTTGCCTAAAGCATTTTCGCGACCTTGCTTGCCTGACTTATTGTGTTTGACACCAGATTGGACTTCCTTGCCGGAGAAGATTGTTGTCAGCCGTGTGCTGCAAGCCTTAAGTACTTGGTCAGCTCAGGTCTCTGTACCGGCGCATGCTTTGAATGAATTGCTCCCTGTTGTGCATGACCAGCTTGCCATTGATAGATTGAGTCCGACCAGCAGCATGGATGCATGTATTTGCCAGTCTGTCTTGATTGCATGTTTTGCTTGTGATGATCCTGTGTCAGCTAAAGATCTTTCCCACCAACTTGGTGTGTTGACGCGGGGCATGATTGATTGGGCTTTTCCTAGCGACTTGAAAACGAAACGATTCACCAGCTTGGATTTTGATCATTTGCTGCATGTCGTTGGGTCCATCCGTTTGCTTCTGCATACCCGGTGGCAGGCCTCTGCTGGTCGTCGCCGAAGAGCATGGGCCCGGCAACGGTTGCAATGTGTTCACCCTGATTTGTCACTAGCCTTGTCTCGGCCTGGTTCCCTTGCCATAGCAGATAAACGTGCGTGTCTCAACTTGATGGCTGTGCAAGTCAGATGTAAACTTGAGCCGTTGAAAGGGGAAGGTTACTTGTACTTGCTTTGTTCCTTGCGTTATTGTTACCTTGGAAGCACGGCGTGTGACCGTCGTACTTGGAGATGCTCCATGAAAGCCCCAATGGCCCGGTTCTATGAGCATTTGCATGATCTGCGGTTGACTAGACGCGCTGCAAGTCAAGCTAAGTTCCTTCGCAAAACAGCTGTTTTCAGGCAAGTGCCTCTTGGGGATTTGTGCGTATGGGTTGTGAGTGTCGAAAGCTTGCCCATGATACGGGCCCTTGAACAATGTTTCCTGCGCATTGGGCATTGGCCTGCTAACAGTATGTCTACAAAAGTTCCTGGCCACAAACAAGTTAGACATAGCAAAGCCAGCCGGCGGTCTGGTCGCCGTGTCCCCCCCTCGTTTTCGAAGTGTACTTGATGTTCACCAACATGCAACTTCTAAAGTCACATTTGTACTTGCTCAAGCTGCGAACATGGTGCAGCGTGCGGCCCGTTGTGCGGAAACTTTAGCTGATGGAAAGTATTTGGCACAATGTTTTCAACTCAACTTTCACACTGCGTATTGGCATGTCTTCCTGCACAGACTTGCGCTTACAGGTCAGGCAGGTCCCCTTGATTTGAGACATGTACACTGCACGTCCCTGTTTGCTTGTTACATCTGTGATTCCAAATTGGCATGCTGGGAATCCATCCGACAGCGATGGGCTTTGTGTCATGAACCATTTGGAAGTGAAGCCATTGTTGCCATGTTTGCTTTACTTGGGCAGCCAGCATGTGCTGCAAGAAAGCGAGGTATCATTGCTTGTGATCGGTGGATCCGTCGACATGGGCTTCCCGGCACTCGCAAAAGGACAGTGCAATGGCCACTTGCCTTGCCAAAGCGTGTGTTCAAGGCTTGTTTGCAAGACATCCGTGCGCAGTTGTTGATCACATGTTCACCTTTGGTTGCTCGTTGGCTTGTCTCTTGTGTCCAGGTAGTGACGCCGCGGAGGCGCACCTATGCAGTTCAATGGAACCACATACGTACTTGCAGAACCATGACGGATGCCCATCTGTTTAGTTTGCCCCCGGCCTTACTGACACCCTCGTCAAGCGAAGGTGCCCAGATGAAACTGTGTAAAAAGTATTGGAAAACTCCAGTTTGGGAATCTGGTTTTTGTGCCGCCAGGCAGGCTGAATCCAACTTGCGTTCATGGTTGAGGTCACTTGAGCTACCTGTTGACAAACATTGGCGAAGGCACATCTGTGGTTGGTTGTGTAATCATGTATCCTGTGCATGCCCTTGTCTTGATCAGCACCTGTCGTATGTTGCAGACTTGACCGTTCCCCCACAACATGTTGCGGCGCAAGAAGATAAAGACAAGGCTTCTTGTTGGATTATGCCTCAGACTGTCTATCACAAGCTTTTCGCGCTCATGGTTACCCAAGATACTGACCATTGGGTCCAGCGCCAAGGCCATGCGGCAGACATAGCTGAGCGCTACAGACAAGCGCAGGTGGAAAAACTGGAAGTTGCCATACATGTACATCAACATGAAGTCCAAGTGTTTCAAAAGTGGTTTTGGTCGTACCTGTGTGAAACCAAACCATGCCTGCTGCCGACGTGTTGTCAGCTGGGCAGCACACCCTTGCAAACGCCTGTATAGGTCCACTGCCAGGGGTCTTGAAGCAGCTGTTCGATTGTGGGGTAAGGGATTTGAAACGCATGATCTGTTTTCCGCAGTTCGTGATTTGCGTCTGGCTGTGGGTAAGCTCCGTCATGAACATGGTTACTTGTCTTGTTGTTATATGTGCAAATCCCCTAAACCTCCCCTGTGCGCATGGGTTGGTGACGCCGCTCAACTTTTTGAAGAAATTTCTCGTGACCAAGTCCTGTATCGTCTGAGGCTTATTTTCACAGAACTTCGCAACCGGTCAGTCAATTCATTTGGTGTTGTGACAAAAAAGAGCCGTCGCATGCATTACTGGATTGCCCGAAACAATTTTCGAGCAACGCAAGACTCATGCTTGCACAGGTGGGACGAGATGCTTTGTGTCGCAGAACTTGCCCTTATGCAGTCATGTGTTAGTGTAGGGCCTGTTTTGTTTGAACAACAAAGAGGGGTCCCGATCGGCGGCTTCTTGTCCAAGCAGTGTGCGTCAGTTGTTCTGGGAGTGTCAGAAGCTGAGTGGGTTGACAAAAACGCAGGAGTTGGTGCGTGGTATCCGCCCGACATGCAGTTTTGTGAAGCTGTTGCTGCTGTGCGTTACGTTGATGACCTTGCCATGGTGTCTTCTGTCTTGTGCCGCGCTTGTCTCCATCAGTTGCCTGCTAGCATGTATGACAAGCCAGTGTGTTTTGATGAAACGCATCCCACAGATCTCGGGACTCCTTGGCTTGACGTATGGCTCCAGTGTGATGGTCTTGACTTGCATGTTCATGCCCATGGTGTTGAATGTACTTGGCGCTCACTCGCTGCTCAGGGCATCATTGAATTACCTGTCAAATTCCGCTTAATCCCTTTCCAAGGAACTGCAACATTAGACATGCCCTTGTTGCTCGCACTGTTGCACGGCAAACTCAATCGGCGGCGTTCCCTGGAGTTGCCGCTTGAAAACTTGCATCGTGCTGTTGAGTGCGAGTTGCAAATTTGGGCTTTACATGGGTACCCCTTAGGTGTCATGCTTCACATTTGGCGGCGGGGCCGTCACTGCCCGCAAGCCGTCAAACACGCCCGGGAAGTCTTGACCAAAGCAATTTCGTTACATGGTCCCCATGCTTGTGTAATGTGACATGCTGTGCTTGACTGGTTTCTTGTTTTTCCTTCGAAGATTTCTCCTATCATGTGGGAATGCCTCTTTGGTGCCAAATTTTGACCGTAGGTTGAAACATTAATGATCGATGCGCAAAGAGGCAGCGCCAGACTCTGCTGTTGAATTTTAGTGCTCTGTGTCCCAGTCACCGAACCGGCCCGCCCACAGCCATGGGAAAAGGTGGCTATGGAAAAGGTTGGTCCTGCAGCCAATGGTCGTCTCAGCCGCGCAAGCCTTGGCAGCAACAGACAGGCTGGCAAAGGTGGAGTGATGATCACAACCATGGCAGTCAGTATGGGCGCAATCCCAGCTCATCCCTGAACCAGTTGTGCAGTGGAATGGTAAGCTCTGCTTGGGATGGTGTGCGCTCTGGAGTTGCTTCTGCAGCTTGGAAGGCTGTAGAGACCACGGCTGGAGTACTAATGAAGACATACCAAGCTGACAAGCCGAAGGCCATTGTGAACTCGAGTGCCCAGAACATGATGGCTTGCTTGGCAGGCAAAAGTGATGAGTTGCAGAAATCAGGCGCTGTGCACAATCCTGACTCAACCAATGTGCGTGAGGATGACGTGAGTAGCCAGGTTGCTGGCCACAAGCTTGTGCTTTCTGTGCTAGAGTTGCAAAAAGAGCAAATGCAACAACAAAGCCTCTTGCAAAAGCAGTTGCTGGAAATGTGCGCCGCCAGAGCTGCCGCAGAGCCGGCGCCTGAGATTGCTAGGCCAAAAGACCCTAGCAGTGCACGTGGCAGTCGTGACCGTGGCAGCCAAGATCTCACCCCTGCAGCTTCCCCTCCACGAAAAAAAGGCACATGCCGCAGAGCCCGTGCTAGAACTTCGGTGGCCAAAAAGAAAACCGCCAAGCAGACCAAAGCAAAGCAAGTGCCAGCCAAGCCCTCCAGTGCAGCCAAGGCCAAGGGCAAAGCGAAAGTGAAGAAAGCTGAGTGACTAGCTGCTGCCCTCAGTTCCGTGCTATGCGGTTACTTTTGGATCCTTCGGGGGTGCTTTTGGCAACTTTGCCGCTTGACACTTCTCTTGAGTGCATGCTGGGCGTTGCTCCAATTGAATGTATACTTAGCACGTGCTAGTCTTGAGGAGCTCCAAGCTGCCCATGCTTTGCACATGGCCAGAGATGCTGTCATACAAGCTGCAGAAGCACTGAACGCTGAGAGGGCCAGTAGAACAGCGGAGAGCACTGTGGGGCATGTTTTACCATCCCTTGTTGCTTCAAGCACGGGTGGGTTTTCCCATCTTGCCCTTGATTTTATGTTTCAACTTGCGAAGCCATCACTGATGGCCATGTCTAATTAATGCTGTTCATGTATCGGTCTACGAGGCCAAATTCTTAATTAGTTGTGTACTTTGAAGAGAGCTACGTTTTCCGGCAGCAAATAGAGGTTCAAGGGTTATGCTGCACCTTTCCGTGTAGCATTGCTGAAGCTGGCACAAGCCGTGCTCGAATCCAGTTATCAGTGGCGGCAACCCAGGAGAAAAGATTGCAGACTATTGCTCTTTGTGAAAGGAATATATATAATATAACGTGTGACAGTGTGTGACAACAAAGCCCGACCTCTTTTGTTATGTTTTGTTCGCTCATCTTGGGCCAAAAAAAAACGTCAGACCCCAGCCCCAAAGCGCCATGGATTGAACATGAATGATTGCAGCTGTGGCCAAGCACCATGGGCCTTTGGGGGGGCGTGCATAAGGCACACAATACTCCTCCAAATTCAAATACTAGTCCCTCTCACTGCGCTTCTTGCTTGAGTGGGGCTGATGTGCATGCGTTGATTTGATGATGCAAAGTCGTGTAGTATAGTGTGAACAAAACCCTAATGCATCTGAGATCAATCCGAAATAGTTTCCGGACTGCAAAAAAGTGTTCATTTCAATAGAAGCTTTGGGGAGCACGTTGGAAGAGAAAGCCAAAGAATCAAAGCACGCAGGGCAATACGACAAGTCCAGGGAATGTCAACGGATTTCCTCATCAAACTTCCAACCTTGCCGATGATCTGTACAGGGGTAACACCCAGATTCAATAGTGGTTTTGGTATGTTTTGGCAACTTCTGGAGGAAACTGCATTTTGGATTTCACACTAGGGCCCTAGGCGTGCATACAACCATCAAAGGCTCCAAATAAACAAGGAATGGGGCATGTGCACCAACTCAAGTAAGTGCACCGCAAACCAATACTCACAAATTGTAAACCTGGACTCGGACAAAAGGGAGAGGGCAAGAGAGATGGAGAGACAGGGAACAATCATCAAACATGGGCACTTAGTGACAACTTTGGTGGTGAGACAGCGAGGGCATCTCGTAGTAATGTCGCATGATTCTTGTCTCGGCTTCTCTCCCAAACAAGTGGATCTTTCTGCCAAGAAGCACTGCTTGTGAGGCCTAAAGCATCTTGTTCGTTTGCTATTTTCCGCTTGTCAGAACACCTCTGAAGGAAGATTACTCGAGCCGGCATCGGCTTGTCCTGGACAAGGTAGGCACAATGTAGTTCCCCTGAAAAAGCGCTGCTTGCTGCTGGCTTAGTCATGACACCAAACGAACACCAAACAAATCCCTCTCTCTCTCTCTCTCTCCCAAGTGTGCTGCAATACATGTCTGCAGTGTTGTTTCAGCCACTTCAAGCACTTCAAGCGTGCGGGTAGCTGCGTACAATACTAGTTCCAAAGCTCATATTATGAACAGACTGCATAAAGGCATAATGCATTAATGACCTCAAGCATGGAAACCTTGGAATCTGCAAACACTGGTCTGGTTCCTGTCCTGCATCCCGGCTTCTTGCATCATCTTATCTGAGATCTTCAGGCCAACCTGCAATGCAAAACTGCGCAAAGTGTGAAAGCCTCAAAAAGATTAAATTACCTTTTCGAAGCAGCACCTGGGTTCTCGAGTTTCTTGTAGCATGATCTAGCCTGTATTCCCAGGCGAGCTTGACATACCTTTCTCAACTGTGCCGGCATCAGCCTGCCAATTGATCAAACGATGCCAGAAGTCAGAATACATTCGACCTGAGCAAAGTCAGAATACATGCTTCCTGAAAAATCTCGCCATCTTACGTCATCTAGCCAGCATTATTGCATCAAACATATCAAAAGCAAAGAGCCCATTCGTGGATCAACCCCACTCCTTCCCAGACTCACAAAAATCAAGGAAACTCAACTTGTCAGGTGCTCGTGCAGCTGGCGAGCCATCACCATACTGCAGCGTCGGAAGAATTTCACCCAGTGGACCACCAGCACGCCAAAGATGTAGCGTTTGCTTGGTGCACAGCAGGAGCTTCGGTGAATCGCGCTGGAAACTTCCAAATTTTATTTCGAAAATGCGGTCCTCGGAAACATGGGAGGCTGAGGAGAAACACAAAGGTTGGAAACCATGAGCAAGCAGCTACAGTAGCATGAGACAGCTAACTTTGCACCTCAATTGGATACAGTAACTTGCATCGTGACTGCTCAACAGGAAATTGTCATTATAACTATAAATCTATACATAAATATGTAGTTATACAAAAAAATGCGGGCGTGGATCTTCAGGGACGCCCAAACTCTTCAGCATCGACACGTGTAACGGATGGTTCACCACAATTTTCCTCAGTACAGGAATACAATAGAGTTCAATAGGCTCATGATGCAAGGCGAAAGTTGTTGTATTGTCTGTATTGGCACATTGCCTCCTGGACGAGTGGCACTGAACTATTCTGAAAAGCCGTGTCTTGTACCACGCTCCACACGGGTGCCAACATATCCAGCAAAGCATGCTGATAGGGCATCCTTGGCTCGTCCAATCCACTCCAAGAATCTCGGTTGCCCTGACTCAACCATGTACATTACGACGTGACTACGTCACTGTGCAGGTTGTTTTTTCCATGTTTTTCAATCTTCTGCGGGAACTATTGGCAAAAGACCATGAAGGAGTAGCGGTAAGCACCCAGGCGTAAGATTGATTGGTCAAAAAAATCAACATGGAAACAAGTCAGTACCATGCAGAGCCTCTAGACTCTAGACCACTGACAAAGCGGACAAAGCGTTCAAGCACGTGCAATTGAAGCTACAGCTAAATGAAGCAAGTAACCCAGGCCACACGCGCAGGCTGGAAACGACTAACCTGGGAGCAAGGTGCACTCTATCTCTGACTATTTTATAAATCAAACATTCTCATGGAAGCTCACGGACAACAAAATTGTGCCTCAACCCCACTCGTCAGTTTGATGGGTGTGCCAAGAAACAAATCTTCATCGACTATGAGTGGCCGGATGGACTTGCCCTCCCTCATGGAGCAGTTGGCGTTGCAGCTCCTCGCACACAATAAGAGTTGTCAGGTGTGTGTGGCTGTTTGTTCAAACATGTTCAAACTTGCGAGCAAACAACACACTCCTCGCGTTCATTTGCCGTGTTGTACAACAAAGGCAGTAACAAAGGCACTCATACAGAAACGAAAAGCAATTTTAGGAGAAATTGATTTCACCGGCATGACATATATATATATATAACAGCTCCAGTTCACGTATCTGCTTTTACGGCCATCCAGGTCCACAACAACCACCTCCCAATATACATAGATATACATAGATAATCATAGCAAAGGCCATACTTGGGCAACGCGCAGCCGACTGACTGGTGGTGGAGCGTCAGCCCGGTGTTCGACCTTCCACTGGCCACCTCCAGAGTTTGGTGAGTACAGTGAGTTGCTGTTCCCGCTTCTGTTCCCGCCATAAGCATGGGGAGCGCAAGCACTGGGCGACAACGGCTGCCTCCCCAACCTTTTCGGTCAGCTTTCCTATGGTGACATCCACCCATTCCCTAGTCGCCCTAGTCCTAGTCCTCCTATCCTTCCACCCACCAACAACAATGTGACAGGAGACCTCCCAAAACAGGAGCAGAATCAGCACAAGTTCCCCCTGTAAGTGACCAATGCATTCGCTACATTTGGCTTCGGGGCCTTGCAAGCGTCCTTGTTGTAGTCCCGATGGTGCTGTGCTTTGTTGAGCAAGGGCTGGCAAGGGCCAACACACTCTTCTCGAGGGCTCCAGTCAAGGAGGTGTTAATAGAGTTCTGGGTGAGAGAAACGAGCTGGTATGCAAACAGTGGGGAGCCTGTGTCAAGCGCCTCACCTAGCAGGATTGGTACTGTTGGTAGCTCCCCTCATTGCATGGCAAAGCAGGGTCCTAAAGATTCCTAGTGAAACATTAAACATTGATCGGGGCACTTGAGCATAAACTGTGCCCTACCCGTTGACACCAAATTAATGGATTGATTTCAACGGGCCATGAAGAAGGAGTCTTGTATGGCATTTTTGTAGGGCCTTCATGCGAGACGTGGATTGCAAAGCAGGAGGGTGCCCAACCTTCGAAGAGGACGGTTGGAAGATCACTTCTTGATTCGTGGCAGAGACCCAGCACAACACGTATTTTTGAGCCGTCATACTAAACACTCTGATGGGGAGCCGCTGGACGTAATGCTGATGACACATGGAAGACAGTTGCCCTGGTTGTTGCACAGAACTCAGCTGCCTGGTTGATATATCAACATGCTGGACAATGTTTGGAAGCCTTGCCTGACTGGTTTAGTGCTGCTGGGAAACACTTGGCAAACCGCTTTACATAACTCTGATGCTGGTGTGGGCAATGAAACACTTTTTCGGGCACCCATGCATCTAATTAACAAGCTTTATATTTGCAGCGGCCACGGCGGACAATTACTGTATATAACTGTATATATCTTCAGCAACCGCAAGAGTAAATTGAAGCACAACAAAACGATGCATGACAGTGGCAGCAATGCTGCCCAAAAGCACTAGATCAAGCTAGCTGAGATAGTTTACAAAGCATGCTTTAAGGACAAGCCATGACCAAGCTAGGAAAGAAGTCCACTGAAAATCACCCTCATGCAATTTGGAAATGATAACAGCAGCCGTCTGAAGATCTGTTCTTGCCATAGAGAGGG